TTTCAAGAACAATAAACTCTGGCTTATCCTCTGGTTCCATCARCATCTTATATTTAGGCTCTTCAGGTTTAATTTCTTGTATTTTATTTGACTTTTCTGTGAGAATAAAAGGGTGAAAAAAAAAACAAACAAAAAGAAATAAAATTTAATGCAAAACAAGACCTGAGTGAATTTTCAGAGAGGTTTGTGAATAGTCTCCTTCATGGCTACCTGCGCCATCTTGAAAGGTAGCCGTGCCTTTGCATCGAAGCGAGACGACCGTTGAGCGTGCAATGATAGAAACCTTCCTTCACCCCTACAGGCAATTATTCACAGGTATCTATCATTGCACGCTCAACGGTTGTCTCGCTTYGATGTAAAGGCATGGCTACCTTTCAAGATGGCGCAGGTAACCGTGAAGGAGACTATTGGATAGCAGAAGAGAAAAATTGTCCYAGACTGCAATAATTCTTGGGTTGCAACCACATGATCAAAAATCCCTTGAGAATTAAAGAACAAATCTATCGCCGCCATTTTGGATGACTGAACAAGCGAAACTAATGAGGTATGCTCTGTTATCTTCATCCCACATGGCGACGAATATGACGTAATGTGCAACCCAAGAATATAGATCAATGTCTTGTGACATTCACTGTACAATGGGGTGCTTCAGTCCACGTACCTGTAGTATCTGTATTATTCATATCAACAATGACTGGTTTGCTTTTACTCCGTACAGAATGAGTTTGTATTTTGCCCATACTTTTTTTATTTTTCAATATTGTCCAGTTYCTATCAAGCTCAAGTCCATATTTTTCTTCAAGTCCTTGGAATACCACAGTAAGGAAGAAATTTCGGAAAAATGAATTTTCTTGAACCTTTTCCAAAAAAGCTGGATTGATCACAATATCATAAACAGTACAACCTGAAAAAAGTTAAAAAAAATTGYAGTCAGGTCCMGGAGTCAGGTTAATGCTTGAGATCAAGAGTTTACAATGTTAATTTTGAATGTATTTCTCAATTTCTCTTACCTTGTCCACTTTTATCCAATTCTGCGTGTGGTTCTCCAAGACTAAGAGGTACTCTATACCTTAACGGGTCCTCCGAGTCGAGAATTTCTGCCAGTTCCTTCTCACTGACCTCCCTTGGGTTTGGGACATGTTCTGATGTACAAATGTTYACAAACACTTTTTTCTCGCCATTTTCTGTGGCAACTTTTGACTTCARCACAAACCCAGCATCCGGAATAAAGTCTATAGAATCTTCTTGGGGCACTTTTTGTTTCAAATATTGAGGATTTTGAAGTAAAAAGTTCTTGTAAAATTCTTCATCCAAATTTTCCAGGTTCTCATTTGCCGCCATTTTAAATTTTCGCAAACAATACCCACAATGCACTATCATCATTCTTCCGCTGTACAGTGTGACTGTTGTTACCAATGGCCGCCATGGTGAAGTGATTTGAGGTTTGAAAACATTGATAAAATGTTTTGTTTTGGAATTACGTTTGCACAAATGAGCTGAGCAATATATAATATATATATATATATATATATTGAGACCATGGGTAGTGCAGGGTCAGACAGGTTTTCAATGACGAGTGAGCAGTATTTAGGTAAGACGAATTGATTGAAAGTTGAAAACAACGTCGTTTCTGTGGTCCTGTGAAAGTTCGGGACAATAATGCTGTTGATATTCTACAGAAGAGAAATTCATAAGAAATTCAGCGATGTTAGCAGTATTTTGTAGAAAGTCTAATCAGTCATGCATGCATGCAGTTTTACTTGCTTTGTCTTTTTTTTAATGTGCCTTGTGAAAGTCGCTCACAGCACAATCTATTTAAGCTTATAAAGGCTCAGCCGTGGTAAACGCACGCTTGGTATTTGAAACACACGAGAAAATGTCAAGAAGCACGAGCTCAGTGAAAGCMAATCAGAGCGTGCGTTTATAATAAATTAAATTGTTTTTGGTATTCATTTCAGCAAAGTATAACATTGTCACCTATTTGGAGGTATGTATATCATTACAAGTGTYCTTTAAGCTCATTAAGTAAGTCTAAACAAATTTATCTGTGCAGCACTGCATCTCTGATTTAAGCTTAATTATTTGGCTTTCAATTGGTCAGCCTTGMTGTTTACCTGATCCCTATAACTATGACYATGTAACAATGCTGGTTGTCTTTAGGATGCAATAGAACAGTTACTGGAACACAGAGAAGATAATCCCAGAGTGATCCCAGCAAGATTTCTTAGTGACTAGTATGTAGAGGGGAATCACCAGTTATTGAATATAGAGAAATTGCCATAAAAGAAGTAMCCAGCAGCCAGTATGATTTAGATTTACAAAAAAAAAAATTATTCATATCTACTTGCAAAGACTGTACTTGTATTCCATTGATTGTTACGTTTGTGTGAGTTTAGTCCCATTCTTTCTTAGTAAAGTGGTTTTAGTTTCAGGAGTGTCGTCCAAGGCAACCAYACCCTATTCCGTGACTACAAGTACATCAGGGCTACCCCATGGAACAGGCCTTGTTTTATAAGGGTTTTCTGGAAAGCATTCAAAAATATTGGTAAAAATGGTGAATTACTGACAGCCTCTGAGTACCATTCGTTGATTTGTCTGCTGTGTCCAGACTTCCCTTTCACACCAATACAGAAAGCAGCTAAGATTGTACTCATGGAAGACGCCACGGATTGCTTGATGTCATTCTCTGACTTTCTGTATGCATTTCAAATACAGTTTTGTTATGAAGGTACAGGGGGTCATGTATGGAAAATTAAGAAACAATCAAATTCTTGACTGTTTTATTGTTTAAACCTTTTGWGTGTGCAAATAAATTTAATAATGAATTTGGAGCCTCAATGTGCCTGTTGCTAAATAAAAGTAATTAAATTTAAAAAACAAAAACAACAAAAAACAGATGATGTTTTCACTTCAGCATTTCGTACCGTGATGTTTACAGTAAAGCCACTGATAAGAATTCGCAATTTGAAGTTTCAGTCTTCTTATACCCAGGCTATTATGTTGATTGTTGGTATAAGTTTGTGAACCTCTGCCTAATTGTACTGATAGCATTGATGGCATCATTAATGTTTTGATGATTTTAAAATACACCTCCAGTCTTAATCATTTCCTCAATAAAATTGAAGTAATGACAATAAATAGCTACAATTAATCATGACAATGGTTTTGTTCATTTATTCATCTATAATTAATATTAATTTTTATTTTTTATATTATTTTTTTTTGTAGAATTTATAGACAAACTTCAGGAAGTTTACCATGCAATAATTTCTGGAAATTATCGTCCAGGTCAAGTGGTAGTAGTACCAACATTGACCAGACATAAACCAGCACAACAACCAAACCCACCACCTGAMAACCTACCAATAAGTAACAGTGARGGGTTGGAGGTTCAAGTGTTTCTTGATGCCATGTTGCAGATTATACATTCACAGGCCAGTGTTTTCAGGTACATGATTCTTTTCCAGCAAAAAGTCTTCATGTGGACAAAACGGTTGGATGAATGGATCAATTACTGGATGAATGAAGAGATGAAAGATGAACACACAGATTGTAATTTGAGAGATATCTAGCAGTAAAATAGACTTCTACAAGACTTGTAAATTTTTTTCCCGTTGATTGGGATTCCTGTGGTACAGTAAGTTTACAATTTTTCGCAAGCTTGCGAGCTCTCTCCAATCGGACACCGAAAATTTGTATCCCACTACAGGATCCTACAGGAATCATAATCAATGTAGCAATAAATAATAAAAGGGATTTAAGAAATACAAGTCTTGTACTAACATAGCTTGAACTGCAGCTGTATTTCTGATGGAACAGTTGTTACAAGTTAYTGGCGTTCTGGACTTGGTTTAAGAAACTAACGGACCTTTCTAGGACCAGCCATCGAAACGTCAGGGACTTATAAATTGACTTTTTTATTAGGTTTGCGTATAAGAGTCCTCTTTAAAGTCAGTTATTTCCAGTAATTTCTTTCAATTGTGGATTTGTTAAATATCTGAAGTAATTGAGTTCCTGTAAGTTTGACTCTGTMATTATGTATTCAGGTGTCCACCCATCTCAGCAGTCAAAAGCATTCTTTCTACAGTGCAACGAGTGACATTCTATGGTTTTTTGATGGCTCTTGCTAAACATGACGGCGTTAATGAAAGCATCGGTAAGAATTGCCAAAACATCGATGTAAATATTGTAATCACCATCGTTATCATTGTCATCATCTTATGATTGCATCATTTACAATCTGGCTACTTTTCCTGACATGTTATGTAGGYTGCTTACCACAAAAGTCGTCATTGATGGAAGATACAGACCAAGACATTTCCAGGTGCGAAACAAATGTAGTGTGATATGAATCCTTGCCTAGACAATAGGGGCCGTTTTAGCCTTCTTCATGGGCTTCCTGTCTTTTTTGGGGAGCCAGAAGAAGGATGGGAGAGGGAAAGCGCATGAATACAATTCCTCGTTAGTCCCTCACTGTCAATACGACCGGTACAAAGTAAGCACGATTGAGGAAAAAGAGAGTTGGCTGGTGAGAAGCCGAGCGCCGTTTTGAGGGCCGCTCAATCTCGAGCCCAGAGTCTTCACGGCTAATGTCAGCATTGGTTTCCGCTGGAGGGCAAAAGTGCGGGCTCTGGGTACGAGATTGAGGGCCGCTGTACGAATTACCAATGGCGCTATCCAAGGTATTGATGAAGGTTTTATTTTGTAGCACAAGCACAAGGCCAAAGTCTTCGCGGTCTAGAAGTTTGCTGGGTGGAAACTCCAAAAAATTCATGTCATAGCGTACAAAGACTGTAAGTAACGTAACGACGCACTAAGCCATGCGGGACTTGAGAGATCGTGTAAAGCAGCGGCTACACAAGCGATTTTTCGCTTGAGCAGGCGACGTGATTTTCGGATACGATGAAAGCTGAACGTCGAATTTGAGCTGTTTTTGTACATATACCTTTTTATGGAGATTCAAATAAGTCTTTGTGAAGATTTTTT